TATAATCATGAATGTCTAGTGCAGGCATCAACAAATGTAACATAATACTTATATCCATTGGATACTACATAAGAGGGACCCTAAAGATTTATAAAAACTAGTTGAAAATGAGTGTTATACACATATGTAGATTCAGGAAGGGCAACTTATGACTCTTTCCCGTATGACATGCAACACAGTCGTTATTATTACTTAAAGGAAGAGTTACATTTAGCTCTTTACACACTGTAACTAAACTATCATGCGAGGGATGACCCAATCACTGATGCCACAGTTCATACACATTTTTAAACAATTGTGTTGTATTAGTTTCTGCCCTAGCACAAGCATCAACTGAAAAATTTGCACCAAATACATACAAACCACTTTCTTCTCTTCCTTGAAGTAAGAGTGCACCATACTTTTCATTACGAACATAGAATTCATGTGCATGAACTCAAGAAAACATTATTATCCCTAGCAAAGCTTTGACATCGAAAGCATATTCTTGGTTTTCTTGCCACATAAAACAAATCAGTTAATAACAAAAATGAGATGATGAATTCAAATATGCATAACCAACAGATTTAATATCTAAAGCAACACCATCACCAACAAGAAGTTTACCTGGATTATCAAAGTCAGCCGGTATACCATCAGATGTAACATGATGTGTAGCACCTAAATCCATGACCCATTGCTCACGAGAAGAGTTCTGGTTAGAATGCGCCACAGACTTAGATCCAGTTCTCTTAGCAAGACAACACTCACACCCACTATTCTTTTGTCACTCAGAATAATAAGTAACACCAAATTCATCATTCGAATAGTTATTATTGGTCGTGACTCCAATGAATTTTCATCAAATTGGTGCCATCAACGATAAACCAAATGTCTATTTTTTCCACACAGTTGACACTGCAGCCTAGATCGACCTCGTCTTCGACCAGTCGACCTTTTACGAGAATATGACTAACAAGAAAATGACAGACTCGAACTGATCCTCATTTCCACTTGACACCTTCACTTGAGCAACATAAGCACTCATTGGAAAAGACTCAAAGGAAATCCAGTCAATTGCGTCTCAACATCCATCAACATAATATACTCACGAGGTAACCCTTTAACTAGCTATATGCATTTTGAGTACATTTTTCACTTAAGAATTGAATTCACCTATTGACAATGCATATTAATAACAACAGTAGTATATTGATTGGCAAAAGAGTGCAATACCTTATTCCACACTGCTGACGCCGTCTCATCACCAACAAACTGAGGTAGAAGTGATGGACTAATTGTCGAAAGTAACCAGGGCGCAAGTGCACTGTCCTGAGCCATAAACTCCTCATACACTCGTTCGACACCTCTCCTGATCCATCAAGAATCGTCGACGACGAAAAAGCAGTGATCTCGTCAGTAACCTCTCCAAACGATAACTGTAAACCATGAGCATACATATTGCTTCCATAACAAAAGTTTGTTTCATCAAGGACGATTTACCTTCATATGGAGAAGACTTATCGTTCCTCGAAAGAAACTCCATCGAAGAGGAAGAACTGTCACCGTTCAACATGATGAACTCTTAAGCAGCGAAAGACCACTGAATCCTCCCAAGACTATCGACCAAAGATACCATGTTGAAAAGATGAAAATTAAAAGATGAATAAATTGTTTTCTTCTTAGCTTTTTGCAAATACATCACTAGCTTATATAGTAAGCTTATTGACTTCAAGCTCACTCAACCTCATAACTAACTATAACCTTTTAACAACATTCATAACCAATTTTTCATACGTCACTCTTAACAACCCTAACAACTCAACACCCTTCTGTAATCTATACTCCATGCACACGTTAGCATACAAACTCCAATAAAAAGAAGATAGTGGGTATCATAATCATGCTTAGGGATCACGACTTTACCATAAACTCTCAGGTTCGCTCCCAAACCTCCACAACCACTTATTAAGCAGAGATCTTTTCCTTAAACATATCGATGAGCCCCGACCCCTTCATTCTTGGGTAGCAGATCCTCTCCCATTTCACCCCAGTGAGTTCCTCAACCAATATTCGATCCCCAAATAAACTTTGCAATGAGACTATTAAGCTTCGTATCCATTGATTCTGGCATCTTGAATAATAATAGATAATAAATCGATAGGTTTGCCAAGACTAATTTTTCCAATGATATTCAGCCACCAAGAGAAATCAACTTACTCTTCCACCCATCCAAACGAGACTCAAATTTTTTTCACAACTGGTTTCCACAATTTTATCGAGTTCCTCAAATAACCCAAGGGACCAATATGTTAGAAGTTTGTCCCACCCACACTTTATCACTTGTGCCCAAGCTGAAATATATCTATCATTGATATTCACCCCCAAAGAGTTTCTACTTTCGCAGATTGAGACTTAAACCCAAGGCAGCTTCAAAAACTCTAAGAATTCTCTTCACATTCTTCATCGACTCCACGTTACGATCATAAAAAAATAATTAAGTCATCGGTGAATTGAATATGAGACACCACGAGATCGCTGGACCTAACCCTTTTGAACAAAATTCTTGCTAGAATCTTATATAGGCTACCCACCAAAACACAAACATAGGTAATCACCCGTATATTTATCCCTTAGTTATTTATTGCCTAACTATAATTTAATTAATTAATTGATTTCTTTACAAACTGTACTTGTAATATATTGTATGCTAGAATTTAAATACCACGATCCATACTTTATTAATTTAAAATCTAAGAAAATATTATTTATTCAATCTAGAATACAATCATTCCATCCTCTTTTTAGGTTTAGAGAAAATATTTGATTTTATATTTTAATTTTTAGTATATTCTCTTATCACGTTTAGAGAGTTTTTATTAAAGAAAAATTCTATCTTATTATAAGATCTCATCGTTTTAAATGATCTCTAACAATAAATTCATATACCCTTTTAAATTTAATATTTTATTTTTAATGAATTTTTAGCTAACTCTTTTTCCCATATGTAATGGGTAAGGGGAGGTAGGATAGTAGGCTGCCCCAACACCAGGTTGAGAGCAGCTTCCGTGGGAGACTCCCAAATTGTGAATTGAAACCCTTTTATTTTTAATGAATTGAAATGATTAAATCTTTAAGTTTAATTTTGTATTAATTATGTTTTTGATTCTAACCATACATAATTAAAACCTTTTTCTTTTTCTCAATAGTTAGCATTACACATACATTTTACCAATTATTTAACGAAATCATTAAAATTTGACGAGAAAAGAGTTCCAAAAGTTTAGGTAGCAGTGGTTTTATCATATTAAAACTGTGTGAATTTTACTCTCCGAACGACGAGAAATTAACGGTTCAGAACATATGTTAAGCCAATGGTCTTTAAAAAACAATTTATCGTTATACTGCGAGTTTGGATGTTACTGTAATTTAAACATTGTGATACAAGAAACTATTTTTTTTACTAAATTCAGGGACAGATGCACTTAAAGTTAAGTACATACCCATTATATTAGATATATTATTAAATATAGTTTAATATTCTAGGAAAAAATAAGAAATTGTATACTCATTTTATTAAAAAGGGGATATTAAAATTTTTTAATCTTATTTTTAAATTTCTGAATATGTTATTAGTTAAATTAATATAATTATTACTTTATTCTTTAAAAAAAGAAAGGGTACTTGAAAGAAACAAGTATAGGTAGGCGATTGGGTTTAAAGATGGGACATGATGAAACCTCAGAAGGAGAAGAACGATAAAGACTAAGACACAAGTGAGAGGGACAGGGGCATGTGATCCTACAATGGCTATAGCAGTAGTAGCAGGCAAAGGCCCTTGCTTGCCGAGTGACAAACGATGAGGAAACAACCCACTAAGAAATGACACGTGGATGACTGAAATATGCTTCGACCCAGGGAAGCTACATAGTGATTAGGAGGGACAGTTGTCCCTTTTAAAATTATTATATAATGATATTTTTGGTCTTTTTTAATTTAAATATTAGTCAAGATATTTGTTTTTAGTATTTAATAAATTTTTATTCTTTTATACAAAATAATTTTATCCTCTCAATATTGGATCCCAGTTCCGTCACTGTTTCAACTAGAACGACATTATATTGATATATAAAAACACAACACATGGTAAGTAGGTATTAAAGCTCAATCCCATCTGCTATAAAAGCTAGGCCATACCTCCAAAGAAGCCATCACATAGTGAAGAGAGAGATGGCAAATAAGGTTCAAAGAAGAAGAGCAGAAAGCTTCAAGTTATGCCAACTCTCAGCAATTCCAAAGCTGTAGTACAAAAACTAAGAAGCTTGGTTTTTATTGAAAAAGCTTTTCTGGTTCATGATGTTAACCCTACTCTTTCGTTTTTGAAGGTTAAAAGGAGTTTTATCATCTTAAATGTTCTTCTCCATTTTCACAAGGTTAATGTCAAGTTCGAAGAAATACAAAGAAGCCAGAAAAATATAAATATTCCATTGTCGGGTATTGAACCCGGGTTTCCTGGGACGGCAATGCAATATTGATTTGCCAACTATTATTAGTCATCTAGTTTTTGTTTCGGTCATTTAAGTATTATTTTTTTTTCAAATCATATCTAGCATTAAGTTTTAGTTTTGTTTTTTAAAAATTTTACAGTGATTCTGTCGTGATATTTTTTTAGAATTATTTTTTAATATTGACATGGTATTATCGTTTGGTGACACATCAATATATCTTTAATTTATTAACGGTATATGACCAAAACAAAATTAAAACGTAACATTATGTATTATTTTTAAAGAAAAAAATAGTTATATAGCTAAAATAAAAATTAAGTAATATGTGGTTGACCAAATTGATAGTTTATCTTTTTTCCCCTTCATCTGGTTGATATCTGGGGAGGATGTCCTGTTACAATCATAAACACCCAAAAGTCATACTCAGAAATTTAAAGAAACTGAACCACAAAGCAAGATTTATCATCATATTGCCAGTGGGCAAAAAAGATTGCATGATGAAGGTTTTAATCATTATAAAAGCGGATTAAGTATATATGAACCATGGGTGGTTGGACCCTGGCTCCACACCATCGAGCCAGCAGGCGTTGATGGTGGGGACTCTTCCACCTGGTGGCACTCTAGGTTCACCCCAAATAGCCGCACCGGTTTCTTTGGCTTCCCGCCTGTTCCACCTTGCTTTCGGTTTTCAACAATAGTTCCTGGAAAAGGAATAACAATGCTTGAAACCATCTTGAGAAAAGGTCTTAATACTTAATAGTAAGTGCTCAAAAATTACTATCGATTAAATAGTTATTTTAGTTCATATTTTTGTAAGTATTTTGATTCTAATGATTCATTTCAAGACAAAGGTATAATGTCAAAAGACAATATTAATGTTCGATTAAATAATCGCTTTGACCCATATTTTTTTTTTAGAATATTTTGACATTTAACGTTTTGTTTTATAGTAAAAAAGTCTCTGTACCGATGGAAACCGTTAGTTAACAAATTATTAACGCTCTAAAATAAAATTTTTTATCCTAAAAATGAAATGTTGAAGGTCAAAATACTCTAAAAAAAGAATAATGATCAAATTAACTATTCGATCAAATATTAAGGGTTTTTATCCTAAAATAAAAATATTGTGATCATTTGATAAACGTTGTAATTCTGACAATATGCCTAGAATAAATAAATCTATAATGTTTGACTAAATAGTTACTTTAGTCCTTATCTTTTTTTCTTGAGCATTTTTATTCATAACGTTTCATTTTAAAAGACTCTTATTTTAGAGGGTTAATCGTTTGTTGATAAACGATTTCTAAGTCACATAGAGATTTTTTTATCTCAAAATAAGACGTTGAAAACTTAAATATTTCAAAAATAAAATAAAGTCACTATTTAATTAACAAAAAATATTTTATGTTATTATTCCATAATAATACTAGTAATTCACAAAATTGCCATTTTCCTAATCCCTATACTAATGTAGACCCCGAACTAGTAGAATTTGAAAAGAATCTACTTGGAGAAACACATTGCTCCCATCTAATTGGAAAGTGGCTTTCACGCACTTCAATGTGCCAATAAATTCCCGAATTTTTTTAATAAATAAATAAAACCCATTTTATTTGCCCTCCGTGTACCAAGTCTTTGCCTAGAGTAAGAACTCGAACTCTCGAGATTTTACTTAAATGATATTAAGCTGTTTATTTCATAAAAATAAATTGTTAGATTTTTACGGTGCGAAATAAAGAAAAGAAATACCTGCATGGAAACAGTCAGGTTGGTTTGGCAGTGGCAGATTAGCCCCAAGGACTTGAATGTGCCCGAGACAAGGATGCCCTTGATCCAATCCCCTAATACCACCGCTATTATCGTCCATCACGGCGTTCCTCTCGTTCGTAGCTGCCGCTACAACCACCACCGCTGCACCGCGCCTCCTCCAGCCTATAAACAACCTATCACCATCGGTGCGGTGTCTTTGGAATGAAATAATATCACCAGTACCTAGTTGCTTCTCTTTGACGTATCTGCTCCACCCTTTGGTCAACACGTAGCTTTGGCTGCTGTTCCAGTACGAGTAACGGAAACGCCAGCACTTGCCTGACTCGTCCTCGAAGCTCAGCAACAGCCCTTTGTTATCAGCCGAGTCACCGCCGAGCGGAAAGTGTTTCTCGGCATGTTGTTTGGGGATAACAAGCCTGTTCAGCTTGCCAACATCACTGGGAGTTAAGAGTTTTTCAAACATGGGTTCCCTTTCATCTTCTTCCTCTGCTTCTTCTTCTTCTTCGTCTCGGTTAAGGTTGAAGTTGTGAGAAGTATTGTTTGTGAAGAGGAACATGGAGGGACAGTGAGGGTGGTTAATAATGGACATTTGAGAGACGAAAGAGGTGAGGAAGAATGAGAAGGATGCTTCAGAACAACAATGGAGAAAGAAAAAGAAAAGAAGAACAGAGGGGAGACGTGATGATTATGAGTTCCATGTGGAAACTATTTAATGAAGCTAAAAATATATGACAATGAGGGAGAGATAAACCTGGTAAGATTAAAGAGGCGGATAGAGAAAAGAGGGTCAGGTCAGGGTATAGTAGTATAAAATTTTCACTGCTCTATGTAAAATTTTCAAGTCAGTAATATGTATAAATTATTAGTTAATTAACAGTTTTTGTGGGTTAATCGTTAGTCAATTAACTATTTTCATCTAATAGGTTCTATTTTGATTAAAAATTAAAAAGTTAAAGAATAAAATGCTCCAATAAAGAATATAGAACAAAGGGTCAAATGGGGAGTGAAAAAAACTAATTAACTCATATAGTGTCGAGAAAGCCGTCAGGAACATAACGTGTCTTCCCCTTTTTTCACCTAGTTGGAATGCTAAGAATGCCAAGACTACCAAAGGAATAAAGCAAGAGACATATTGTAGTCGTCGCGTCATTTGGAAGATGCATTGTGTTCCCGGTGTCTTCCGACGAACACTGTAACGATCACACTGTCTCAATAAATAATTCCAACGAGAGTCTATACGAGCCAAATTATTTTTTTCAACGCCCCATTTGAACAATATTATCTAAGATAAAATGACTATTTCTACAAACATATAGGAATATTTCTGTCCTTATACCTAAATTTAAAAATGATTGTTAAATTCTTTTTAGAGAATATGAAGAATGAATTTAAGAAAAGAGTTAGATTTTGTAGTATTCATACCATTTAGATCTTTATATTTTTTATTTACATAAATTCTATCAATAACTATAATATTTAATTTTTTAACTACATAAAATTTTGCTATTTATACTACTTTTGAAATTTGACATTTTTTTTCTGATATAGAAGGAAGGGACTTGTAATTACGTTCAACTTGTGCCCTTCATTGACTTTTAAAATAGACATTATTGCATGGTTTTGTTGATTAAATTTTATGCAATTACATGTTACTAAGCAAGTAAATCAAATGGGTAATTATGTTATATATATATATATACAAACAGTGAAAAATCTCATACCTCATTGTAAAAACCAGATAGAGACGAAGACAGATAGTTTTATTGTATCACATTCAAATTTGAGGTTAATTTAAAACGGTTTTCAATCTAAAATATTATACAAATTTATAATATATTTTTTCAACCTAAAAGTTACATTGCATTAGGATTTACAACCGAAAAAGTTATACATATTTGTAATATTTTTGGTTAACATTTTCGATTTCAACTTAAAATATTAATATGTCCAGTCTAAAAAGTTACGCTTTTTATAATATTTTTAATTGACGTCAATTATTTTAGAATTTCCTGATAAAGACAGATGTTAAGTTTATATATAGGGTAAATTACAAATTAGGTAACTGAACTTTACACTCTCTCTTATTTCACTCAATGTACTTTAAATTTTTTTAATTTCCTCACTGAAATTAATATATTTGTTTTTTTCTATCACTCAACCGTTTTCTCACTAACTGCAGTATAAATGGGTTGTTTTATAGATTCAAAACGTCATTTTGGTGAAAATTTGTTTTATTAGAACTGTGATGTTTTAATGTTGTTAAGTATTTAATGGCGAAGTAACCAAAAAAAACTTAATATGTTAAGTTCGGTGAAAAATATAAATGTTTTAAAGTTTATTGAATAAAATAGGAGATAATAAAGTTCAATAACGAAATTTGTAATTTACCCATATATATATATATATATTTAGTGAGAGAAAGACGAGATGAATAATAAAAAAAATCAGTGAAATGAAGTTTTGTTTTGTTAAAAGGAAAAAAAAGGTAGGGAGAGCTGCACGAGTGGTCCTTCTTCCCTTTTTGTTTTTGGTTTATTAGGTGAAAAGCTGTGTTTTTTTAAATAAAATAAAAATTTCCCAGGAATAACAAAGGATTGAGAATAATGTTTTCTTTTTCACATGCTTGAAAGCATTATTGATGTTTGACTATTCCTAGTTTTAGAAACGAACAAGGAAACGATTGTGGGGGACTATAATAAAAAAATATATTTGAAATTATAAAATAAAATCCCTTTCCAATGGACAAGAGACCATAGACAGATGAGATAAGTTTGTCTGATTAATATCCAATTACAGCATGATTGACCGTAGGGTTGGTAGAGTTATATTTCTTGAAAATTTTAAAATTTTATATAATTTAAGTATTTTTTTATATTTTTATCCATATTTTTTATATTTAAAATTTTATATATTTATTTTTTAAAATAATTTAAATCCGTCTCTTCTAATATAAAATTATGTATCCGTCTCTGAATTACAATAACCTTTCTCACTTGATCATATTTTAATCCTCATATCTCCCTCCTTGATTATGTTGTGTTATATATAGAGACAATATTTATTCATATTGTATAAAACTTTTTAGTTTTATATTTTTAAGATAGTTAGACGAGTAAAAATAGACAAATGAAATTAACAGTAGGAAATGGATCTTAACCCATTATTATATATATATATATATATATATATATATATATATATATATATATATTGTAGACACCCATTTTCTTCTGGGGTCTTTGTTACGCATATATAATAATATATATAATAATCTCAAAATATATATTATATATAATTTTTGAAAATATATAGTATATTTTTTGAAAACATGTTTTTGAAAACATATAATATATAGTTTTCTTAAAAACTGTTTTTTGGAAACATATATAATATAGTTTTTGAAAACATATAATAGTTTTTAAAATATTTTTGAAAACATATAATATAATTTTTTAAAATATTTTTTAAAACTTATATATATAGTTTTTTACAATGGTTTTTGAAAACATATAATATAGTTTTTTTTAAAAATGGTTTTTGGAAAACATATTTTTCAAAATATATACATATTATTATTACTAGTATTTTATTTTCCATTTTATTTTATTTTATTTATTCTTTTTATTTTATTTTTCGGTCCAATCAGGCAATGTCCAGGTCCAAGTCCAAGGTCAAATTCGGGTGGTCCAAGTCCAAGGTAGCAATGAAGGGGTTTGGTTAGCATCTAGGCCCAGCCAGGCTCACAAGCCTAACCTAGCATGTGAGCCGTTAAAGGCCAATCAAGCAAGCAAGTTGAGCATATTAGGGTTTTACACTTAGCATTGGCGTCGCAATTAACCAGAGCCGTTGGATCAGGCTTTTCGATCCAACGACCGAAAATTCGTCAGGTCAACGGCTCATAAAGGCCACACGCTAGCCAAGTCACCCATCGGCTGAGATTTTTGACACCAGAAACTGGGAAAATCGCAGAAAATTGAAGCACGTCATGAAACAAACAAAAGTCATGCCGAACGGGACTGCACCATCCCGAAAAACTCGACAACAACACCACCGACGGGGTTATATAAACCATGAGAATCATCGAAGCAAGGATAACAAGAGACAACACAAGAAAAATCCATCGAGCAGTACATAGAAAAACGAACAAGAAATAACACAACAATCATCAGACAACCAAGCAAAATATTCTAATATTTTAAAAAAATCATAAGGAAAGTCAAGAGTTTTTTCAAGGTCATCGGAAATGCGTTGAAACGTCGGGAAAAAGGGAACGATCATGATAACTCCATAAAAGGCCACATTTTGGGGCCTTTTAACTTAAGTTATTGAATGTTTAAAGGCTCATTTAGGACCATGTAGATGCATTTAGAAGCATTTAGTTGCATGTGGTGGATTTCGGTTTGTCGTAGCATTTTATTTTTACAGCGGTGCTACGTTATGGAAAAGGTACTTGTCTGATGATGTGCAGGTATTGAGAGCAAGAAAAAGAGGAAAGAAAATGCCGTGACATAAGGAGATTGTTGAGCAAAATGAATTTTCCAAGTTCAACCGGCATTTCGAAAGTGCTTAAAGTGCGAGAAGATATTTTTGAAGATAGCTGTATCCAGTCGTCCGAGAGCTCTGCCCGAGAAATCCACCTCGAAGATCCGCCTGGAGGGATCGGCGCTCTGTCAGTTGGTTCTGCTGATGACGCCGCCTGACCCTGCAGATCCTGCCTGTCCTTGGTCTTCTGTCACGGGATTATGCCGATCACTCAACCAGCTGCCTAGGCTGTATTATCACTTGTCTTGCCCGACTCCCAAGCAAATTTAACCATGGTTTGGGGGTAGTCAACTCTTAGTTCAAGGGTTAATATTTTCCTATAAATAGAGGATGAAACCACATTGTTAGAGACTTTAGTTACATATTAGTTTGGGCTTAAAAAAGTTAGAGTGAGAAGGTCTCACCTCTCTCAGTCAATCCGTCTTGCCGTGGCATTTTTCCTTGACTAGCATAAGAGAGTGGCGTTCTGAGCATCCGAGAGGAGCCAGTCCGTTGGGAGTAGTTCTTGGTGGCCGAGAGGAGCATTGGCCAGTGCACGTTGAAGGCTTTCTCTCATCCCCTTAATTCTTTGCTTTCATATTTTGTCGTTGGGTTGTAAGAAACGAATGGAACTTGTCTTGAACTTGTTTATTTGGAACCCCACCATGAACTAATCCTATTTGGTGGGAGTTCGCTTGGATGTCTAAGTTTTATTTTCAATGAATGGTTGTTTTATTATGTTTTAATCTGTTTTGTTTATGAAACTTAATGCTTTGAGGTTGTAGGAGCTACGAGGGTAGCCTTTCCTTAGAAGGTATTTAGGGTTCGAGAGAATGCCTAGGCAAAATATCTTTAGTCTTCGAGAGAAGCTAGGGAGGAACTACATAAACAAAGGGGTTCTAGACAGTAACTAGGCCTAATCCATCTTAGAGATAAGAATAGGATTTTATTCGACTAAAATGAGTAGAGCATAACCGATCGGTTAGATGTTAATGTTGCCGCAAAAAGGTATTGCCGAGACATATCCTGTTATCTGAATCAATAGGATCACTGCAGGGGTTTACGCCAATCGGATTTGCCAGGACATCTTTAATCTGTCGAGTCCCTTCCTAGAGATAGCTGAGGGAACTTTAGTAGACTCTGT